GAGGGTGGAGGGGTGAGAGAGAGAGAGAACAGAGAGATAGAGAGAGAGGGAGAAATAGAGAGAGAGGGACAGAGAGAGAGAGAGAGGGAGTGGAGAGAGAGAGGGAGGTGGAGGGAGGGTGGAGGGGTGAGAGAGAGAGAGAGAAATAGAGAGATAGAGAGGGAGGGAGAGAGATGTGGAGGGAGGGTGGAGGGTGGAGGGGTGGAGGGGAGAGAGAAAGAGAAAGAGAGAGAAAGAGAGAGAGAAAGAGAGAGAGAGATGGGGAGGAGAGAGATGGGAAAGAGTACCCATTCACACCTCAGAGACTCATTCACATTTTTTCCACCACCTTAATATGGTGTTGCAAAACAGCTTAACAGGTTTTCAATCAATTAATAGCCTCACATTTGAAATGACTGAACCCATTTACTGGACTTTACACTAGATTCCATGGTATCTTCAATTGTTTTTCTACTGTACCTAGCTGATCAAATAACGTGAGCAAATAAAATAACGAGGATACTGCCACTCAAGTACAACTCCACAAAATAGCTGTACAAAGGTCGCCTTAAAATAGAATGTTACAATAATACAGGTACAGGTAGGTTCCAGGCCGTGGCAGAATAGAATATTTGCAGTTCTTCTTTTGAAAGAGATGGGCCTTGGGGTTTATACTACATGAAGGATATTATTTCAATGCCAAAGTAAATAGCAGCCCCTTGCCAGTATTGCCACAGTGTAATAATGTAAGGTCACTCAATGTAATACAACGCCTTGATAGAACCTGGGAAATGACGTACACGCTGTGCATGTACAGTATTAGAAACATTTCCCTGAAATTGGAACATTATGAGCACTTTTAAAAGCATAATGACCATTTCCTTATACGGGTAGACATGTGTGTGGTGTATATTTAGCGGTCTAATGTGAAATATTTCCCCATATGTATCAAGATATCAAATGTTTTTCATAATAGTTTTTTTCTCAATTATATCTGCAACCAGGATTATGTAGATGCAATTTCTTATTTGTCAACTAATACTTCTCAGACTTGAATGGACCAACCAACATGTAATTTATTCAAAATTTTGGCAACTACATCTTGATGTTATAAGGCTTGTAATTGGTGAGATCATGATGTATTGAGAATAGTATACAGATAAGAAGGGGGAGAGAATGCCTGATGTGAAATGGCGCAAACTCCCCCCCCCCCCCCCCCAGTAAAAAAAACCATGAATAATTTACACCATCATGCAATTATTTAATACCACAAGGCAAATTACAGCTTAGGTCGGTGATTACAGCCTGCCTTACAAGTCCATTGTGTGGCAATCTCTTCCTCCTGCACACAATCAGGGGCCTGTTTCATCAAACTTGTTGTTATCAGTTGCTGCATTTACACTGCACATAAAAATCCACGAATATTCTCATATTCCGGTGTTTTGTCGGTAGAAACTGGTCAACAAACACGGTGAAAAACCTCATTTAAAAAAAATTCAAGAATCGTATGAATGAATATTGCAGTCAAAACAACGCTTCTGCAGTTCAATAGGCCACAGTGATCATCTAGAATATCATAACAAGATTCAAATGATTGGATTGCAGCCAAAACAATGCTACTGCAGTTCAATAGGACCCACTAGGCGCATTTTTCATCATCTTGAGATAGCCAAATAGCCCGCTATTTCTGATTTGGGGAATAATCCCGAAGTTACAAATCGCGTCTTCATCAGCTCGAGATTCGAAACTTGAAACTCAACCTTGAGGAATTAGCTCGAGATATTTTGCTCAACGATCGCCATAGTGCGAGTCTTCGGTCTGGTGAAAAAGCACCGGACAAATAGCTGGATATTTTGCTAAATACATGTAGTGGGATATTGTGCAAACTATCTCAAGATATCTTGGGATGACAATCCCGACCAAATATCCCGTTGCAACTTCGGGCTGACGAAGACCCAAATTAGCTGGATAGTTTGCGATCTGGATCATTCAAATAGCGGGATATTTGGCAATCTCGAGCTACATGTAGGGAAGACAGGCCTACTGAGTCACTGACCATCTAGATATTTAAATGAATGTGTTGCAATCAAATTATGCTACTGCTGGTCAACTAGGCCAAAGTGAGCATCTCGCTTCTAACAAGTTTTGAATGCACAATAAAAACTATGCTACTGCAGTTCAACAGGCCCCACAGAAGCATTCAGATTCGAATGAATTCATGGATTACAATCAAAACGATGCTACTGCTGCCCAATAGGCCCAACAGATGCATTAAGATCTGAATGAATGCATAACAATCAAAGCGATGCTACTGCTGTCCAATAAGCTCCAAAGAAGCATTACAAATTTGAATGAATGGATTGCACAATAAAAACGATGTTAATGATGTCCAATAGGCCCCACAGAAGCATTAAGATTTGAATGAATGGATTACTATCAAAACAATGCTACTGCAAATCAATGCAATAGGCCCAACATAAGGATTAAGATTTGAATGAATGGATTACAATCAAAACAATGCTACTGCAGCTCAATAGGCCCCACAGAAGCATTAGGATTTGAATGAATGGACTGCAATCAAAACGATGCTACTGCAGTTCAATAGGCCCCACAGAAGCATTCAGATTTGAATGAATGGATTACAATCAAAACGATGCTACTGCTGTCCAATGGGCCCCACAGAAGCATTAGGATTTGAATGAATGGACTGCAATCAAAACGATGCTACTGCAGTTCAATAGGCCCCACAGAAGCATTCAGATTTGAATGAATGGATTACAATCAAAATGATGCTACTGCTGTCCAATAGGCCCACAGAAACATTCAGAATCAAATGAATGGATTACAATCAAATCGATGCTACTGCTATCCAATAGGCCAGTCAGCATCTCCATTCTAACAAGATTTGAATGAATGGATTGCAATCAAAATAATGTACTGCTGTCCAATAAACCCGTGCGAATCTCCATCCTTGCAATATTTGAATTCATAGATTGCAATCAAAACCATGCTACTGCTATCCAATAGGCCACAGTCAGCATCTCCATCCTAACAAGATTTGACACATAGCATCCTATCGTAATTAGTCTCATCTTGAATGACACGGGAAAGGGCTTCGTCGATGACCTAAGCATGGACTGGCTAATGAACTCCATACCATGATCACACGAGATTGGTCATGCTTCTTTTTCAGACCTTGGCCTGCTTGCCAGAAATAGCAGTGACTGAGCTGAGGGCCATAATTAGCCTCGTCCCTCCACTACAGCTTAGTTTTAAATAGATATTTTTTGTTCAGTGTTTAAAAAACAACAACATGTGTGCCCTTGTTTTTGAAATAGGAGCATAGTGCCTTACCAATCATTTTTTCTATCTACATGTAATACTAGCTTTTTTACAATTCAATACAGATGCAGAGAATGAACATTTGCATTCCCCCCCCCCCCCCCCCCCCCGATAAGCATGTAACGATGTATTAAACCTGGTTTATGCGTTCCTCTACTCAAGATACTTAGTTCTACTACTTGTCTTGTAGTAGTCTCGGAATTCAATACATAACATTACATCTGTCACATTTCAGACATCACTCATTTTCTGATGAAACAACAAATTTGAAGAACATGTCAACAAAATATTACAATCCACATGAATTCACATCATACAGAGAAACATTCCTGGAATACATGTCTATGTAAAATTAGGACTTACTAAAATAGTCTAAAAGTAAAATACACATAATTGTTTACAGATCTCAGGGAATAATTTTCCTGGTATCGCATCGCAATTTGCTATGCATTTTTGCATGACTGCTATACAAAATATCTTTTGTGTAGCAGTTTTCTTCCATAGAAATGTACAGAATTTCATTTGAAATATTTATCCATCGCCTGAAATTGCTAATCAAAAAATTTGAGGAAAATTATTCCCTGGATCTCCAAATATTAGCATACCTGTCTTAAAACAATCATTCTACATGTACCTGCCCCTCTCTCAAGGCTCACCCTCCCTCACCCCACCCCCCCCCCCCAAAAAAAGCCACAAATGCATTGGCATGGACATAACACATCGGAACTCACATCATCTCATGTTTCTCTGAAGGAAATGCAAAATTATCTATAAGAAAGGCCTACAAAATTGTTGGTACTTTTGAAAACCTGAAAAATTTTAAGAGTCATACTGCTAATGACTTGTTAACTGAAGTTGAAGTTGAAAATACGAGGCACTAGTGTAGTTTTCGTATTCATTTTTTGACTCGTAACTCAGGCATGGAGATACCCTACTAAACCATACCGAAAAATCAATTTAATCTTCATCAATTGTTCAAATAATGGTCATGATATAAAGTCGTTATATTTCTTACCCCTTTCGTGTCAATTTTTAAATCTTTTTAGGAGTTTTTTCCTAAAAACGAAGACATTAAAATATTCAATTTCTCACAGGTTCCATGGCAAACCACTGCAAAACCGCGAGCGTGCATTGAGTTATCGACTGTAATCGACTTTACGCACGCTCGCGCAACCGCCCTTCGTCGGCATGGTAAGGTATGCATCTGCAGAGTTACAGCATAGGTCTAACGTTACAGGTCAAAAATGGATACGAAAGTACGACACCCCTCTCAAATGGTGCACAAGAACAACTTCATCTTTAGTTTATGATTACAATTGAAAATGTTTCAATATAGCAAAACTAAATTTGTTCATATGTTCTCTGAAGGTTGTGGGTTTTTTAATGTAAACATCTAAATATAATATTGTCCGCGAGTACGAGTACATGTATGTAACTGCATGTGTACCGACAAGGACCCGGTACACATCGCCGTAGGATCGGAACACGCGACCCTATCGACTACCGGTGAACTCTCGACCCGCACTCGCTGGCTATGGCATCAACGCCTCCTCGGTGGGGCTGAGGCTGTAGCTAGCAGCTGACTCGACTGTGCGGCTGGGAACTGCACTGCGTTGCACTCCGACCTTTACAAACACTGTATTCATCAATCCTAAGACAGAAACATCCAAGAAACTTACCTGAGAAAGTAGAAGTACTTTGTGCCTAAATCACAGATTCAGTCATCTGGATACGGTGAACAACGTAGATCTAGGCCTATTTATCAGTTGTTGGGCGGTCTACCTCCACACAGTACAGATACAGAGTAAATCGGCAAACTGATAGCTTTTCTTTAATCGTACAATAATGTTACGTTGTTGATGTTGCTAATAAATTTCGCCTTGAGATGGCGCTTTTCAACATACAGTGCAAACAGATTAGATACAGTATTGCCATCAAAACAATCTCACCAAACGGCTTGCGAAAAATCACCACAAAATCTAAAAATATACCCCAAAATAGAAAAATAAAGGTTTGCCCGATATAATTCCAATAAATGGCTCAAATTTGTAAAAAATGTATTCAATTTCAATTCAGATTTTGTCGCGAATTTCATATGTTTTAAAATAGATAGAAAAACTCATATTTTGATGGTGCCCCATGCCCATTATGAATTCCCGAATTGATGACTGCTGGTCAAAAACTAAGTTCTTCTCTTACATTTTTTTTTTTGTATTAATGTATATAATTTTATATTTACGTAGTTTAGTTATTCCAAAACACAAACAAAATTCCCTGAAAAAAATCAACATTTTGGATTTGGCACAACTGTGTTGAATTTGTCCTCACCAAGGCTTTTGTTTTAATTAAGTCGCACAACTGTCAATAATTTTTGATAACACTTCTTTACAATCTTTGATATAAATGTATTTTGTAACCAGGGAGATGGGAGGCCATGATCCATTTTGTAACCAAAATCCTTTACGCCACTTGTATAGTTCCCTTCTCAGTTCACACGTCAGTTTGGTGATGTATCCTCGTCGGTTGGGTTCGGCTACTCTGGCTACCTGCCTGGTCGATCAGGTGGATGAAAATTAGTCGATATTTTTTTCTTCTCTTATTTACATAATTATTATTTTTCTCCTTAACACCTGGGTGGAGAGTGGCAAATGTAGATCCATGTCTTGCCAAAAGACAGTTAGCGCCGCGTTGGTACTCGAACCGCGGGCCTTTTGATCGACAGTCCGGTCACGTATCCACTCGACCACAACATATTATGCCTCTTCCCTTTAACGGGGGTGGCATTCTCAACGGCATTTGAGGTCTGTGCCCCCCCCCCCCCCCCACCAACCGACACTAGTGCCCCTCATTGGCTGGACCATAGACTAGCTACCACCACGTTGGACCAACACCATGGTATAGGTCTATGTTCTTACTCTCCTTTAATTTTCCCCCATTTTTGTAATCCTTTTCTCCTTTCACTCTTTTTTTTCTTCTTCTTCTTTTCTTCTCATACTTCTTTTTCTGGTTCTTCTTTTCCTTTTCCTTCTTCTTTTTCTTCTTCTTCTTCTTATTTCCTTCTTCTTCTTCTTCTTTCTTCTTCTTCTTCTTCTTCTTCTTCTTCTTCTTCTTCTTCTTCTTCTTCTTTTTCTTCTTCTTCTGCTTCTTCTCCTTCTTTTTCCTTTTCTTCTTCTTTTCTAATTCGTTTTCTTTTTTCTTCTTCTTCTTTACTTTTTCTCCTTCTTCTTCTTCATCATCTTTTTATCCTTCTTATTTATTTTTTAAAGTATCTAACAGAAAGAGTAGGTAGTAGATTGGAATTCCCTTCCCAATGGTGTAAAAGATAAGAAACTATGATCATTTTAAGAGGAAATTAAAGGAATACCTAGTACTTGACAGTCAGAGAAGAGAAGTGAATGACATGTTATATGATTGAAATTTTTATTCTTCTGCCGGTTCATACTTGTTCATTTTGTATATACTTATGTTTTCGTACGTTATAGAAATTCTACAAATTCATCATTATTTTCCTCTTCTTCCTCCTCCTCTTTTTTTTCTTCTCCTTCTTCTTTTTCTTCTTGTACTTATTATCATTTCTATCATCACTTTAATGTTGTTATTATTATTATTATCTGTAATAATTAATTCTTTTAATTTCCTTATTTGTCTGTAAATATTATTATTTTTAACTTATTAATTTTATACATGTCTGTAAGGGAATAAGCTTTTGTTGGTTATCCTGTTCAAGCTGACTTATTTTTTATCTCTTATTATTGTATATTGTTGTATGTTGGAAGCTTGTCGAATAAAAATCAATCAATCAATCTTTATTATCTTTCAGACTATAATATTTGGGGCCTCTTCCTGTAAACGACAAGCTCTAAACCGGGGATGAAGTTTGCCGCCCTCTATCTTCAAAATTGAGACACTAACCGAGACACTCGGGGGGGGGGGGCACCAGGAAATAAAATTATAGGGGGAGTATAAAAGACACACACATAAACAAATCGTTCCCCCCTTTCCCCCACTCCCTATCTGCGACCGTCGGTAAATTCGTTTTTCGTTCAATATTACTATTCAGGTTGTCGACTTCGACTGGGGGGGGGGGGGGGGGGGGGGGGGGGGGGGGGGGGGGGGGGGGGGGGGGGGGGGGGGGGGGGGGGGGGGGGTGGGGGGGGGGGGGGGGGGGGGGGG